TTGTTCACAAGAGAATACCAAGGAATAGCTAGTATAGTCTGTATCTAAAACCCAATAAGGTCCATACGGTGCAGCTGAAATAAAATGAAATTGAGGTTTACGTCCTAATATTCTGCACCTGATTAGCTAATGAAGACGGGCAACGTGCAGTGTGTAACAAGGGAAATGTTTCCAGGACAGCTATATTAGCTCAATATTTGTTATTTTCCAACTGTAGAGGTATCTTTAACAGCACAACCTGGGTCTTCATCAACAACAGGTAGGAGAAAACTAGGTTGAAAAATCAGACCGGGATTGAACCCTGGACCTTCAGGTTAACGAGCCACCGCGACTCATACAAAGTATCTGGAAGCATAACCCAATATGGACATTGGCAATTGCGTTACAACTTACTAGGCAATTTCATTCGGGTACACAATAAATATGAGATACTGTATTTATTATAACTGCCCCTTATCTTATTCACAAAAATTCAAAGTAATAATGCATCTCATCAAAGAGGTTCAGTCGCACTGAATCTTTGACTTGTACAGATGCTTCTAGACATGGTACCTATACTTACCTGCAGTAAATCTAACAGAGAGTTGGCCCTCTTTACTATCATCTGGTCTGTAAACATCACCAACGGCGAAAACAGTTTTACCAAAAAGTTGAATGCCATTCAATCGCAAGAACTCTTAATGCAGTAATTGTCCTTTTTTATTTTTATTACATTTTGCTTAAATCCGTACAGTAGTTTTATTACACCTACCAAAAATAATAACGAACTTATAGAGTTTACGTAAACCTAGTTAAATAGTTTTGAAAAAAGTAAACAGTTGGATTTTTTTTTTGGTGTATAGTTTTCACAAAATTGGGCAATGAAAATTTCGACAAACAAAAAATCAACAAAATAATGCCCTTATAAAGGTAACTTTTTATAATTAACGAAGTTGGAAGGAGGACTGCTCTGGTTGAGATTCAAAAAAGCATACATGTACTTACGTTTTACCACTGTTATACACTTTAATATGACCATCTGCCTTTCTCGAGTAATTTGCTGTGTTACATACTTGGTTATTCTCAAATAAATTGGGTAATTTAATATACTTCAAACCATTTACCTAAATACTGAACGATAACAAACAATAACAAATGATAACAAATGATAACAAATGATAACAAATGATAACAAATGCATTAGTTTAATTTATACTTTGATCCATATACATCCAAATACAAACAGTGACGAATAAAGTATGTAGTCCAAAAATTTCAAACCATTTATAGGCCTATGTACAAGAAAAATGCAATAAATAGCTGGCCACGTATTCTCGAAACGATCTTAGCGTTAGGATATCCTAAAATCAATGTTAGAAGATAAGAACCTAGGACATCCTAAAACTAAGATCGTTTCGAGAATACGTGAATTGATTATATTTAATATTTAAAATTACAAGCAATATCAAATAAATTGAGTAATGGATATGTTTCAACCATTCAGCTAAATACTAGAAAATAACAAAACCATAAAACAAAATTAGGTTATCTCGTTATGTACGTAAGGTTGTATGACCTAGTTCTGATTTTTCTTTAAACAGATCACAATAATTAGATTTAAAAAAATTAAAATCTTACTTGATCGAGATCTAAATGTTTCTGTGGCTGTGTTTTTGGACATGGTCCTAACCCTGGTATTTGGGCAGCAGATAAAACAAAACAAACAGAGAGTATCACTAGTATTCCTTCCATCCTGATCTCAACGATTCCACACGACTTCTGATAATAGTTCTAATAATTCGACCTTTTTATTGACAATATTTATATAATTTGGATTTTTTAACATGTGTTGTTGGTTTTTGAAAGATAAAATTTTATAGTGGGCATCGATGACCCTTTCAGAGTTTAAATGATTTGATGTCATGATCAAACGTATGGTCACAGGGCATGCACCTATACACTTTTCAATGACAAGCTAGGTTTAACAGAAGGTTCTATTCCGTTCCGATGTATGTGTACATCTGGAATACTTAACCACTGAGTTTCTTTGAAATTCCTATGGGTATTGAATGAATGTGCTGAATATAGAAACGTCATGTTGAATCATGGGGAATTATTCTCGAAAACTTAAGATGATTCCAATCTAAGTGTTCCAATTTAAGTAGGCGAGACATTTTATTTTGTTTCTAGTTATTTTAATGCTGTCCAGCACACTTTTTATGGTTTCAACAAGCAAAAGATACACCACAAGAAAATCCGTACAAGAAAGACAAAATCGAGAGTAAAAGTTGCATAGTACTAGTACCACCAGGTGTTTCTAAAAGAGTAAGCACAATCTACACAACGGATCTATTAAGATTATTTATTAACAAAGACTTTATTTACATCCAGATCTTCCAGTAGTTTTCAATCCACTGGAACCGATTCCATCTTTTTCCAATCTTTTGAATAGTTTGTCTTTTACTGCAGGATCAATGGTAGGAGTTCTGCTTAAAATCCAGACAAATTTGGCATGAGCCAACTTACCGAGTTGTTCACAAGAGAATACTAAGGAATAGCTGGTATAGTCAGTATCTAAAACCCAATAAGGAGCATACGGTGCGGCTGAAAGATAAAAGATTAAAATATACAACAGTAACCTGATAGGTAACAAGGTACGATTTATGGGTACTTGGATTTAAGTCATACGAAACTACATGGCGAGTGTTATTTCACCTAAAAAAAACATACGGAGTTTTGTATGGGATTTAAGCTTCACCAGTTGGTCAACCGGCTTATAAGACCACTTTATCGTATCTTTATTATGTCTTTATACCAGAATAGATCTGAGATTTCTCAACTACCAAACCAACAGTATCGAACCAGCTGATCGATCCAGATTCAGCTTTAGCTGGAAGAGGGCGTCAACTTGTCTTCTACCAAACAACCGTATGAATCATTTTCGAAAACTTTTACATAGACTTACCACCAGTGAATTTTACAGATAGTTGAGCTTCTTTGCTGTCATCTTTTCTATAGGCATCTCCAACAGCAAACACAGTTTTACCATCTCTAGAAAAGAAGAGTAGAAATCTTAGGAATGCCATGTTTATACGTCTAACACAGACGTTGATGTTGATTTTCAATGCTATGGTATCTGGTAGTCAATAGCTATAGGGGGACAAGAGGAGTGGGAAGGGGGGG